TTCCGGTCGTATACTAACTCAGTGTGAGGGTGCAAAGACAGATCGTCCGTGGTAATGCCGACGACGGACGAGGCCTACGAGACCATTTTCCGGCGAGAGGTGATAGTCGTAGACGGGCAATCTGAGGATAGTTATGAGTCAAATTTCCTCTTGGATTGGGCGGACCTGCAGTTTCGTTCGAGCACTAATAGCTTTATCTATCGACCCAGCCGCCTGGGCGAGGAGGATAGTTTGGTCTTCCGAAAGCTGACGGACTTCGTCGGACGTCTTCCTCCTCGGAAGTGCGTGTCCCCCGACGGGGAGTATATCTGTGACGCAGACGGGAAGATACGTACAGAGACCCGATGTATCAACACTAAGGCCCTGCTTGAGTGTCGGACAGAGGCTAAGGCCCATCGGCTCCTAGGTAGTGTGGCGACTCCCCGGCTAGTCTTATTATTTGTTTTTGGTTTTAATGCTAACTGTTTTTCTTGTGCTCTTCCTGTAGGTACAATGGGCTCTGTGGAGGAACGCGTAATTAAGTTGATGAACCGGGGTAACAGTCATCCTCAAGGGAGGACTGCCGCTGTTCGGAGGGAGCTGGTCGTTGGTTCCTCGGGAACGACTTCGTCCCTGCAGGGAAGTGGCTCACCGGCGCCACTGCCGGCCTCTAAGAGGCGATGAGAGGTTGAGGTACCCTCTATTGATCTGACAAATGGGTCCCCAGAGCGGAGTTTCGTTCTGCCCCCTACTGTCTCCGGCCGAATTACTTTTCGGGGGGGAATGCTCCCGTGGTGGCTCCAGAGGAAGCGAGGAGTATCTTGGCTGCGAGCAAGGAGGCCCGGAGGAAGATGCTGTCCATGGTGGTGAGGGATTTTGAGATAGCCCTTGTGCTGAATGAGGAGGGGTGCTCCTCAGAGGATTTGGCTGCTGTCAGGAGCGAGCTCGCGATATCTGAGGAGGTCTGGTCTAAGCTGGCGGCCCATTCCAGTCGGGGACTTCGAGATAGTAACCCTCGGCGCAGACACGACGAGGACGATGAAGATACGAGTGAGGCTGCCCGACTTGGCGAGGAAGCAGTTGAAGGTCTGCCTCGGTGAGAACGCTGACGTCTTCGCCTGAAGCGCCGTTGAGATGCCCAAACTCGACCCCGAGGTCGCCTACCACCAACTCTCTGTCAACCCGGCCGCTAAGGCAATAGTACAACATAGACGTAGGCAGTCCCCTGAAAAGTCAACGACGACTGAAAAAGCTGTAAAAGACCTCCTAGAGGCAAATTTTATTTCGTAAGCCCGATATTCAACCTGGCTGTCTAACGTTGTATTAGTAAAAAAAAATATAATGGAAAATGGAGGATGTGCGTTGATTACACCGATCTCAACCGGACATGTCCTAAGAACGCCTATCCTCTCCCTAACATCGACAAACTCATCGACAACTCGGCAGGTTTCAAACTACTGTCCTTCATGAACGCCTACTCGGGATACAACCAAATCCCCATGGTCGAGGTCGACAAACAGAGCACAACGTTCATGACCGAGTCGGGCAAATATTACTACAACATAATGCCCTTCGGCCTAAAGAACGCCGGCGCCACCTACCAGCGGATGATGAACAAAGTCTTCCGGGGAGAGATAGGCGACATGCTCGAAGTCTACATGGACGACATGATCGTCAAGTCGACCATACGACATATCTCAAAAAAGTCTTCGAGACGGCGAGGAGATGTCGGATGCGGTTCAACCCGGAGAAATGCACCTTCGAGATACGCGCAGGGAAGTTCCTCGGTTTCTACCTAACCAAACGGGGAATCGAGGCGAACCCGAACAAATGTCGGGCCTTCTCCGAGATCGGGGCACCGAGCACGAAGAATTCAATACAGTCCCTCAACGGGATGCTCGTGTCCTTGTCCCGCTTCGTCGCCAAATCCGCGCAACACACCCTCCTCTTTTTCAAACTGTTAAGAAAGGAAGCTGCGTTCGAATGGACGGAGGAATGTGAGCAGACCCTCCTCCATCTCAAACGTGTCCTGTCAGATTCGCTTGTCCTAACGTGACCAGACGTTGGGGAAACCCTCTACCTGTACCTGACCGTCTCAACCGAGGTCGTGAGCGCCGTACTAATCCGGGAAACCCCCAACAGGAAGAAACCAATCTATTTCACGAGAAAGGCCCTCCACGACCCAGAAGTGAGGTATCAACAGATCGAGAAAGTCGCCCTGGCCCTTATCAACGCGACGAGGAGACTCCGACACTACTTCCTGGACCATACTGTCGTGGTCAGAACCGAGCAGCCGATCAAAAAGCTGCTCGACAGGCCCGACATGGCAGGACGCATGCTGAAATGGTCTCTAGAGCTCTCCGAGTTCGACAACAACAACATAATCGACTATCGCCTTATAGAAAAACATTAATGGATAATATCAATTACTCTCGCCTTATAAAAAAGCATCAACATAAGTTATCAAAACAAGACATCAATACACATCAAATGAGAATACGCATCATATTACTCTAGAATAAAAGTAAACATTCAATCGATTGGCTCAATGAATTTTGTTCAAACCCTTTTTTTTTGCCACGATAAACAATTACAAATTACAGGGAAAGGGAGAAGACAAAAAGGTAAGAAACTATCACTATCCATTTGTCAACCCACCCACATATAAATAAATCCCCCTTTTACATCGAAAATGCATAACTGTGAAACTTCCCCTTCTTAAAATCCCCTATACTTTTTTAACGTTTCTTAGGTTTTTTCTGCCTTTTTTCCCCCCGAATTTCTCACGTACTAAACATTTTCTTATAACTTCTCTTTATAAATGAAAATAACGCTAATCTCCTGTTCTCACCACACCCCATCCTTACTAACTTTACCTTTTTACTTTTTTTTTTTAAATTTTAAATAATATATATATATATATATATATATATATATATATATATTTCTTCCTAACTAATAATTATTTTTAATTAATTTAATTATTAAACTAATTTTTAATAAAATCCAACTGTTAAATAATTAAATAATACTTATTTAATTAATAAAAGCACATCAAAACTCAAATAATTTTAAAATAAATAATATTAAAATTAAAATTTAGGTGTTACAACTCTCTCCGACTTAAAAAAATTTCGCCCTTGAAAATTATCTGAAAGAAACAACTTTGAATAAGACAATCTCATTCAATTATCCAACTTTCATGTCACGCTTCCTCCACCAGGTCCTCCGCACACTACCTTCACCAAAATAATCTCTTTATCTTTTAGATATTTCACTTTTTAATCCTCAATTTGCAAGGATGATGCCTCAACAATCAAGTTCTCTCCCACTTTCACATCATCCAATTGAATCACATGAGACAAATCATGAATATACTTCTGAAATTGAGACACATAAAAAAGAATAAAATAAATGTGTTCCTCTTGAACAAAAAACTAAACTCTAAATGACACACAAATACACACATACACACAAATACATACATACATACAAACACACATGTGTGTGCGTGGGAGTACACAAATACACACAAAACTTTTGCAGATGATGTAGTCATACTTAGAGTGTCGAAATAGAATTTAAATGAGACGTTAGAAACTTGCAGACGAGCTTTTGAAACACATGTCTTTCGTCTAAGCAGAAGTAATACATATTGTATGAAATGCAAGTTCAACAAAAGGAGAATTATTTTTAATATAAATGTGTAAGTTGGAGATTATATCATTCTACAGGTTACACAATTTAAATATCATAAGTCTGTAATACAAAATAATGGAGAAATAAAACGAGATATAATTCATTGAATTAAAGCTGGATGACTGAAATTGATGAACACTTTAAAGATTTTATAAGACACAAATGTTTCACTCAAGCTGAAGAAGGAAAATTATGTGTTTCAAAAGCTCGTCTCTAAAGATTTTGTGACACAAATGTTTCACTCAGGCTGAAGGAAGAAAATTATGTGTTTCAAAAGCTCGTCTCTAAATATTTTATATGACACAAATATATTATTTAAGATGAAGTAGAAAATATGATAGAAAATAGATTACGTCATTTAAACATACAAAAAGATGATATATAAATTATATGATAAAAAGAGTAGATGAGTCAAACAATAAAAGATATTAAAAAACTTTAAAAAATTATAAAAAAATTATTAAAAAAATATCGAACTTAAAACTTATATAAAAACATAATTACAAATAAAACATTATAAAAAAATTGATTTATATACCTGACCAAACTTAATGAATTAAGATTTAGATGTCATATTAAAAATAAAAATAATCCAGAACAATAATTTAAACAAAAAAGTACAACCAGACTTATTTTCAATTTAGATTTTATAATATTATTTACTAATTTATTATAGTTATTTTTTCATATGTTACTCCTATATAACTTTTGAGTAATAGTATATATTTTTAGTTATTTCAATTTTACCCTATCCCTTCATAACCATAATAAAGAACGCAAATACACAATGACCAAAAAAAATCACAATTTATTAAAAAAAATTGTAAACTATCCCATCTAACTATTTAGCCCTTATAAACAATTAGATTAGATAATAGGATGAAAGAATAAATGTTAAAAATTAAATAAAATGTTTACTTGACGATAATTAGTTTTAATAACTACAGTTAATTCTGATGAATAAAATGTTTTCTATTAAATGTTTAAACTTTTCAATTCCACTAATCCCAAAAATTGGAACAACGCACGATCGCACACCGACACTTTACAAATTACACCCCAAACTCGTGTAGCTTACTCAAGAAGCCATTCATACAACAGGGGCATTTTTGGTATTTAATAAATCCCAATCCTCAAAAAATAAACTTCCCTCTCTTCTCAAACGGATCCAATTATGGCGCCTTCTTTAAAACCATTTTAGGGTTTCGAATTTCATCGTCACTATCTCTCCAACTCTCCAAAAGCCACAATCATTTCCGCCAAATTTAGGGTCTTTTCTTTCTCTCGTCGGATTAAAAAAAAGTGATTTTGAAAAAGCGAAAATGGCCGTGAATCTGACACCAGGTGCGGTAATGAAGATGTGTTTCACCGCGCCGGAGGATTTTCAACCGGTGCTTCAAGTTATCGATCTAAGACTTGTTCAGTCGTCGCAGTCCGCTACTGAGAGATACCGAGCCGTACTATCTGATGGTTCGTATTATGAACAAGGAATGCTCGCTACACAGAAGAATGAACTGGTTCATTCTGGAAGGTTGCAGAAAGGTTCCATTGTTAAGCTTCTTCAGTTCGTTACTAACGATGTTCAGCGTCGCAAGTGAGTTTTGTCTTTTTGCGTGAGCCCTTTATTTATTTTCTTGTTCTCAATCTCTTAATTTTTTTTGTATATTGTTTGTCTATAAATATATAATAGATGTTAGATCGTTGTTGAATTGATATGTTGGTAATTTATTCGGAAGCTAATAGTGTGATTGTTGATTTGGGCGGGTCGTTTGAGAGTAGTAAATATTGGAAAATTTCAATTTAAAACCAGAACTTGTTTATGTTGGTTTGTACTTGATTTATATTGAGTTGGTTATTTAAAATTTGTATTTTTGGAGAGTTTTGAAATTGGTGGGGTGAGGCCATTGTATAACAGTCGAGTAATTTCATTGAGTTATGATTGTCTGGTGTTTGTATTTTTTCTTCATATTTGAACTCTTGATATTGTTTAATTTGTTGATGTTGGTTCCTGGTTGTAGCTAAAAATTGTGTCTGGTTTATTTGTTTGTGGGTGACTAGTTGATGGTTTTGTTTTCGATTTATAAACAGGATTATTATCATTGTTGACCTGGAAGTTCTAGTGGATATATGTGAATTGATTGGAAAACCTCTACAAGCGCCAAAAGAAGCACCTGCACAATTGAATGTACAATCAGCTGTAGGAAACACTGCTGGAGATTCACAGACTTTAAATACTAATTCCCATGCAGGCAGCGTTAATGTTAGACCAAATGTGGCTGTGCCACCATCAATGGATCGTTCAAAAGTGAATTCTTCTGCTAGCAGTGTTTATTCTAACAGTTCTGAATCTGCAAGGTATGGTGCATCTAATGTCCCTCCTCCCTCTTATCCTAAACCCGAGCCTGTAGTCAGTGTGAATCGACCACCCCTAGTCAATGGTTCTTATGGTCAGCAGAATGCAAGTTTCCGCAATCCTCAAAAACCATTGCAAAATTCTTATCCTCGCCCTCCTCAGCCTATATACAGACAGCCAACTCCATATGCCAATAGAGGTCCTACGGGAAGAAATGATGCTCCCCCAAGGATAATTCCAATATCTGCATTGAATCCCTATCAAAATATGTGGACAATTAAAGCTAGAGTAACTGCTAAGGGAGAACTTAGGCTCTATAACAATGCCCGAGGTGAGGGAAAAGTATTTTCTTTTGATCTTTTGGATTCTGAAGGTGGAGAAATACGGTCGACTTGCTTTAATGCGGTGGCTGATAAGTTCTATAGCCTAATTGAAGTAGGAAAAGTTTATTTGGTTTCTCGAGGAACTTTAAAAGCAGCTCAGAGAAATTTTAATCACCTTCCTAATGATCAAGAGATAACCCTTGACGCCACATCGGATATACGGCCATGCCCCGAAGATGATAACTCAATTCCACAACAAATATATAATTTCCGTTCTATTGGTGACATTGAGAGTATTGAAAGCAACAGTATTGTGGATGTGATTGCTGTGGTGACTTCTATTAGTCCCACAGCTTCAATCATGAGAAAAAATGGTACAGAAACACAAAAGAGATCTCTCCAGTTGAAAGACATGTCTGGCCGAAGTGTTGAATTAACTATATGGGGAAATTTTTGTAACACTGAAGGACAGAGGCTTCAAAGTATCTGTGACTCCGGGGCATTTCCAATTTTAGCTGTAAAATCTGCCAGAGTAAATGATTTCAATGGGAAATCCGTTGGGACCATAGCCACCAGCCAATTAATTGTAGAGCCTGAATTTCCAGAGGCTACTACACTGAGAGAATGGTTTGAAAATGAAGGTAGGAATGTCCCAAGTCAATCTATTTCCAGAGATTCATCTTTTGGTAAAAGCGAAGCGCGTAAGACTATATCTCAAATTAAGGATGAAAAGCTAGGGACTTCAGAGAAGCCTGATTGGATAACTGTCTATGCAAATGTCGCATACATTAAAGTTGATAATTTTTGCTACACAGCTTGTCCTATCATGACAGGAGATAGGCAATGTAACAAAAAGGTTACCAACAACGGAGATGGGAAATGGCGCTGTGACAAGTGTGACAAGTCCATTGATGCTTGTGATTACAGGTACTTGCTGCAAATGCAGATACAGGATCACACTGGCCAAACATGGGTTACTGCTTTCCAGGAGGGCGGTGAGGAAATTTTGGGTATATCTGCAAAAGATTTGTATTTTCTGAAATATGAAGAACAAGATGAAGAAAAATTTGCAGATATTATCCGCAAAGTTGTCTTATCTAGATATGCGTTCAAGCTAAAAGTAAAAGAAGAGATGTACAATGATGAACAACGCGTTAAGTCAACACTAGTAAAAGCAGAGAAGTTAAACCTTGCATCTGATGCTAGATATCTTTTGGATATGATTGATAAACTTCAGTCTGAAACTGGACTGGGATGCGTTGAAACTGGACAGGCTGCACCACCAGTATACACTCCTACAAAGAGTTACACTAATACTGGTAGAGATTATGGGACAGCAAATCAAGTGGGTCAGTATGGAAACCAACCTGAGAGCTCTTTTACTTCGTCAGGGGCTCCAAATTCGTACTTGTCTTGTAGTAACTGTGGTGTCTCTGGTCATAGCTCTGCACAATGCTTAAACATTAGAAATCAATCTGGCCAGTCTGCTGGAGGGGCTTTTGCCAACAGGGTATCTACTGGATCCGATGGTGCTTCTACTAATTGCTTTAAATGCAATCAAGCTGGTCATTGGGCAAGAGACTGTCCTGGTGTCACTCTTGCACAAACTGATCAGCGTCCGCAGTTCCCTTCGGCTGGATCAGGTGGTGTTTCTGGTGAGTGCTATAAATGCCGTCAAACAGGACATTGGGCAAGAGACTGTCCTGGTGTCATCAGTGCAGCAGCTCCAAGCAATGCAGTGCAAGGAAGATATGGCATTGCTCAAAATCAGCAGTATGGAAGATATTGAAATTTGGCAAAACACTGCTTTTTGAATCGAGTTTATGTGTATTCTTTTTCAACTTTTGAAGTCATGTCTAAATTTGGTAAAACACTGGGTTTTGAATTGAGTTTATGTGTAGTCCTTTTCATCTTTTGAAGTCATTTCTTAAAGGATGTCTTTACTGTTAAGCTTGTAAGTTATAAAAGACATAATTATGTGGTAATGATGTGGCATTTCTTGTGCCAACTTGTTGCAAAATGCCACCTGCATCTTTTAATTTCTGTTCTTGTGTCTTTTCCTTTTAGCTGATACAATTGATCAAATTATAGATGCATAATAACTGGTTGGTCGTTTATTATTTCAAACCATTCGGTGTATATAAATTTGTTCCTACCTCCTGAAAGAAAGTTCCAGGGTCTAAATTGGTATTATAAGTAAATGTTGTAACTAAAAATGTTTAAATTATTTGTATTAGTATTATTTCTACTAATTAAACTCATTAGGTTTAAAATAATTTAAAGTATATCTGATATTATTTTTTTTATATGTAAGAGCCTTATTTAAAAAAAAACATTTACAATAATATGTTACACTATATATTTGCTTAGATGATCATACAATTGGACTCTTTACAATAAGATTGGCCAAAACCCAGAAACTCGCCATCTTTACACTGCCGCATGCCCCTATAAATGTTACACCCTTAATTCCAAATCTTACTAAATAAAAAAAAACGAAAAGGTTTTATAAGAGATTTATTACAATACTAAAAAAAATAACAAACTATTTGTTAATTCAAAGGTAGACTTAACATCCCATTCTTTATGTTACAAAATATAATTTTTTAATGTCAAAACACTAGTTTAACGTAGTCTGTTGTTGTCGAAATGTTTTGTGTGTAGAAATTGTATAGTCTGGACTGGACCGATGTCTGGCCCATCATCAAACAGACCTAAACCCCACCCGGTCGGAAAGTCTAATAAGACTTCATCGATCAACAGTAGAAGGTTCGTCGGTCAGAACACCTTCTCTCGTCGGACACAGACCAGCAGCCGTCAGGCAGGACCTTCATAGCTGTCTGTTGCACCCTAAAATTTGACCAACCGGGTCTCGTATCTGACTCGATGTTTCGACGCATAATCGCATTCGCATCTGCATATTGCATACAGTGCATTTCTCATTTGTTTTGATTTTATCAGGGATCACGGCTCTCGTCTTGCGTTTCAGGTGTTTTTAATCAATTTGGATAGATAGAATCGTATTTTGGGGTATTTCGGTGCCCGTTTATTTTTACCGGCTATTTTGGTGCGCCCTCGCGGTGTTATGTGTCGTTCGGTGTTATTGTGATTTTTCTGAATTTTATTGGTTATTTTTTTAGGGTTTAAATAGATTTTTAATTATTTTTAGCATTTTATAGGAATTAATAGATTTTTAAGATAATATAGCATTTTCTAGAATATTAATAGGGTTTTTAATATTTTTAATAGCTTTTAAGTCATTTTAGGATTTAATAGATTTTTTAGGATAATATAGAATTTTCTAGGATATTAATGATTTTTTAAATAGTTAATAGCTTTTTTTAATCTTTTAATATAGTTTTTTTCTTATTAAATAAATGAATTTTTGTTAATAGAAAATTGATTGTTTTTAATTTTAGATATAGAGATTAATAGATTTTTTTCTTTTATTAGTAAATAGAGTTTAATAAATAATATAGTTTTATTAGGATTTATAGAATTTAATTAGATTAGTTTTTAGATTTGATTAATTAGGTCTAGTTTAGTAATTAGGCTAATTCAGATTTTTGTGGTTTTTTTAATGATTTTCGTGTAGGCCCAATTCGCAGGCCCAGTTATCAGTTTTTTTTATCATTTTTGTGTGGGCCTTGTTCGCAGGTCAGGCAAGCCCAGTTCGCAGGGGCCCAAACTCAATCCAATCCAGAATCAGTCCATTTTCGCAGCCCAGTTCGTCCAGAAATGATCCAGCATTTTCCTGCATTGTCTAGAAGGTTCTAGAAGCGTCCGGGTTTCTCAGCCATTTAAATGCCAGGAGCCACGTGTGAGCAAAAGGCTGGCCCCACATTGCTTCATCACGCCACGCCACATCACCCATTCAGACGCCCTCTCTCTGCCACGCGTGGGACACGCGTCCCGCATGCATGCCTTGCCTCCACTATCACTAACACGTGTTACACAATCAGCTCCTCGCCTGAAGCGCCCTCCGGCCGGCCTGCATGGCCGGCGACCACCGCCACAACCCACCGGAAACCCACCTTCTCCCCAGATCTCAACAACCTTCATCTTCTTCCCCTGACCTTCATCGCCCTCAACCCAGAAACCTTCAACAATCATCTTCTCCGGTCACAACCACCCCAACCTCCTTCTCCGGTCACCATCAATGTCACCGGAAACACGATGAAACTCAGAAACCTCCATCTCCATCTTCTTCCTCCATCTTCTCCGTTCAACAAACAACCTTCATGATCTCCACATTCATCATCTTCAAGATCAGGTTCCCAGAAAAACGCTCATCAAGAATCATCATCTTCGTCAACATCAAGAACACCTTCCAGAACAAATCTCCAGGAATACAACTGATCAACATCCCTCAGTTCAATCAGCATCAGCACATCAACGATGAGCCTTATCCGATCTTCAAACATCCAAAGAATCCAAAGAATCCTCAAGCTCATCAACGCCGTGAATCCAGATCTACATGCAACTTCATCCGTTACAAGAACAAAATTCCAAAAATCCACCTATCATCATCACCGGTGTTCATTCATTCACCAATCGCCAGAAGAACCTTCAAGAACATCCTTCGGCTCATTCTCCAGAAATCGATAAGCAAGCGGATCTTCGAAGGGAACTCCGATCCAGACAAGTCTTTGTCAACCTTCAACTTGCTGGTCCAGAAAAAGTTCAATACAACCCAGAAATTCCTCAAGAACGTCTGAGATCTTCATATCTCACTTCCTTCATTATTCATCTGCGTTCATCTTAATATCCAGAAAACTGTTCGTCCAATTCCTCATAGATCTTCTTTCAGCGAGATCTTCAAACATCCAAGGACTCTCAAGTTTCAGAAACGCGCTCAAGTCTTCACCGATGATTACTTGCCTCAAAGAACATCAAAGAGTTTGTTGCAGTTTTTTTAGAATGATTGTCTGAGGAGATTAGAGAGTTGAACGGAGGTGTAGAAATGAATGAGAACGAAGATGAGACGGTGGGATTGAGAATGACGGCGGCGGCGCTGAGAGAAGGGGAAGGAGACTAGGTTTTTTTTCTCTGAACGAGTGGGGAAGGGAAGTAGAGAGTGGGCCTTAGGGCCCAACTCCGTTTTTTTGGGCAAACACCCCCACCATGTGTTTTTTTTTGGCTCTGGGCTTGGGCCCACGTGAAGGTTGCTGCCAACACCTCCATTTCGCCATCTGCGCCCCCCCTCTGATTTTCCTACTGATTGGGCTGGGCCCAATTTCATTCCCATTTTTTTATTTCTTGTATCATCCCCTTGTAATTGTAAACCCCCCCCCCCCCCCCCCCTCTTATTTCTTCTTTATTTTATTAAGTCTTTTGTAATAGTTTTTTTAGAGAAAAATTTAGAAGAAAAAGAATGTTGAGAAAATATTTTAGAAAAAAAGTATATTTGAAAAAAAAGAAGAAAAAGAAATATTGTTGAAAATAAGAGGAGAAATATATTGAAAAAATATGAAAAAATAGTGAAAAATATGGAGAAAAATATATTGAAAAATAGAAAAATAATAGAATATATTTTGAAAAGAAAAAGAAGAAAATAGTTGGAAAAAAGCAAAAAATATTAGATGTAATATTTTTTAGGATTTATTTTCTTTTTAGAGATAGTTTTAGAAGCCCATTTGTTAGGGGGCTCTTTTTCATTCGATTTTTCAGGGTAGGATAAGATAGTATTTCTTAGGAGATTTATTTTCAGTATTCACTCATTGTAATCACTTTTCAGAGATTAATAAAACGAGATTTGAGCTGTGGTCCCGAAGTAGCCGAACTACAGCTGCTCTGATTCCTCGTACCAGACGGGGATATGTAGGCATAGGATGCGATATCCTAGCGAGCACACTAACGACTGACTTTGTTGTTCTCTCGCGGCTGTGCGATCGAGACCTTCCCGCTGACGACTAATTGTAACCCTTTTTCTCTCTTGCCCGAGTGCATTTGAGACCAAGCCGTAGTTTTGCCCATAGGTTCCCGACCCTGTGAAACCAGTTGTTTTTCTCACTGCTGTATGAGAATGTTTTGTTTAGCCGTAGTTAGTCTGAACTACGTAAAGCTCTGATCTTCCATGCGGTGGAAGTACGTAGGCACAAGACGCGAGGTCTTGGCGAGCCAATTTTCCCTGTAGTCCCGAACTACGTTAACTCTGACTTTCTCTCTTGAGAATACGTAGGCATAGAGTGCGACGCTCTATCGAGTCAATTCCCTTCCGTTTAGATTTAGCAGCCGTAGATAGATTGTTTTGCATCCTTTAGACAACCCAAGCAAGCGTGGATCCCGTCGAGTACGACAGACGTGAGGGGTGCTAATACCTTCCCCTTGCGTAACCGACTCCCGAACCCAGGTTTTGGTTGCGATGACCATACCTTTCCCCGTTTTTTGCGAGGTTTACTTCGAGCGTTTCCTTTCCCGCTCTGAGGGATAAATAACGCACGGTGGTGACTCTTCTGTCAGCCGGCGCCGATTTTCGCAGTAGCGACAGCTGGCGACTCTGCTAGGGACTTGATAGTTTCCTAGGGATCCAACGTCCCGAAAGCGAGTCAATTTTGGGGATCCAACGTCCCCTAAGAGAGAGTCAATCCTAGCGTTTGTTTGCTTGTCTATCAGGTGTTTATTTATCGATATTATCTGTTGCTGTTGGGGTGTTACGGGTGTTCTATGATTGAGATAAGCCGGACCTGGGCTTGAGTATGAGTATGCACCTAGATATAGTTGCAGAGAAGTAGTAGACGAACCTGTCTGCTGAACAGGCACAGTTCCCTACGAAAATCTGCGCTCAGA